TATAGGTGTAGTAGTACCTCTTCGGGCTCTTGTACACCTTTTTCTTGCTACGTGTGCGTGTTCTTTAGATCCTCAGATGGCTCCAGCACTTTCGTGACCACGGGCCGAGAGTCTTTGCTAGATTTTGGCATTTAGCAACTGGCATACGGTTTAATGTGAAGTCAACAACAACAACAATACATGAGAAAACATGTATGTGTTGGGTGAAGAGTTCGCTGCAGCACGGGGATCTCAAATGAATGCATCATCAACAAATCATACCATACATTTATCCGATTCCGGCGAACGGTGTCACGACGTCACGACGTCACGACACATATACTGTGTAGGGTCACCGTAAGATATTCCGAACACGGCTGCTGCTGCAGTAGACTACGTCTATTCGGACCGGTCGTGGAATTCTCTTTCTCTCCTGCTGGATAATAGTCTAAACCTTCCGTTCGTTGCATGTTTGACAATCCATCCACCATCCATGTGATATCTCGGTTGATGAATGACGTATTTTGGAAAACAACTGTTCTGTCAGTCTCCTTCTCTCTCCTCTCGACTCTCTCTTTCTTCAAGGGTAATACGTATTTATGTTCTAATCACAAGGATCACTCACAGCAGCTGGCCAGCTGAGACGAGAGAAATGCGAACAAACCGAGGATAAAATATGTGTTTTTCGGAGGAATCTGATTCGAGAGATCTATAGGTGAACGATTCTTTCTTCCGAGTACATTTAAACTGATTGGCCAGCGCTAATTACGCCGCGCTAGATGGGAGAGACGAGATCGCTCCCCTCCCCCGCCCGCCACCTGCCCCACACTTGCCACAATCACAAGCTACCCCAACAAGTCCTCACAAGACAAGAAACTCCCTACTCCTCCACGTCTCCACAAGACAAGCTACCACTCCCAGCTCCAAGTCGTCACACGACTACATCCCTCCCTTCTCTCCCTCTTCAGGAAACAACTTTATTCTCCCTCCATCCCACGAAAATATGAGCTCTCTTGCCACAGCTGCTTCCAGGTCTGCCGCTGCCGGCAAGAAGGAATCCATCATCCAGGTCGGCTGCGGCGTCGTGGGCGGCGCCTACGCGAAAGCGTACAAGCACCACGGCTTCGAGGTGCGCGGCTTCGACGTCGTGCCTTCCATCATCGAGAAGATGAACACCGCCGGCATCCCCTGCTGCCACCCGGACAACTGCCCCGACGACCTTAACCCCGAGATCGTCCTCCTGTCGGTGCCCACCCCGCTCATCAAGGAGACCCAGCGCCTCGACATGAAGTACGTCTGGTCGACCGTCCCCCTGGTGGTCAAGCTCATCGAGCAGTCCACCGGCATCGCGCCCATCTTTGTGATCCGATCCACGTGAGTGCAGATCTACTGCTGTATGGTCAAATCAGAGCTTTCGGTTTAATTCGGTCACATCATCGCTCTTCTTGCGCAAGCGTGTGTCCACAGGTACAACAGCAGTGGTACACTACTGCTGTAAGAAGGACTACTGCCTCCGGCATATCTCCTGTCTTGCGCTGCCAACAATATCTCTCGCATTGCGGTTGTCTGCTGTAGCCCCCCTGATGCATACAGGGTCGAGTAGAGATGCTTGTATATCGTGTGGGTGTCGATTGTTCGTGTAGGCGGTACAGACGCACAGACCATCTAATCTGCATGTATTTGATACTCCCGTGCTGAGCGGTAGAGCGCTTGATGTGTCCGACTCATGTAGCTGGCAGCATTAACTCGCGGCTCGGGACGGCTAGCGGTAAGGAGCCTTGCTTGTCCGTGCCTATGGCATGATCAAACGCGGCCGTCCTATCCTGGTGTCCTTGCGCCGGTTGTCGAATTGTTCCATCGCTGATGAAATTGTGTAGACTATGCATACCAGCACGTAATTATCCCGAAAACTGGTGGATGGAACAATTCCCGGTTTGATGTTCTGTTGCAGCATCTGCAGCCCCTCGGTCCTTGAGGTCGACCAACTCTAAAGGTTGCAGCATTGCCTTTCATCGTTTGAAACACCTTCGAGCTAGACGAGTCTTGCTACTGACACGTGTGCATGCATATGCATCACATCTACGCATCGCATCGGCGTACGTGCACCTTCCTCCATCAATAACCATCATCTCCACTAACTCAGTTGCTATGCCCCCCTCACTTCCGCGCTGTCATACTACGCGTTCTCAACACAACAGGGTGCCCCCCGGCATGACCAAGAAGTGGATGGCGGCCGTCAAGGAGAAGACCGACAAGCCGTTCCACGTGGCCTTCCAGCCGGAGTTCCTCCGCGCCGTCTCTTGTGAGGAGGACGCCCGGGCGCCATGGCAAGTGGTGTTCGGCTACATGGCCGGGGAGGAGGACGTGAAGGCCCGCATGGCCAACGCGTTCCTCGAGTTCGTCGGCCGCGACGAGTCCAAGCTCACCGTGCTGAACATCGCGGAGGCCGAGTTCATGAAGCTCGTGCACAAGTGAGTTTGTTCGGTTGTTTTATCTGATCTACAGTAGAGTGGTTACGCCAACTATTGATGATGCCATGTTGTAGCCGAATGAGTATTACAAATACGTTGTGCGGAAATTCCGCCATTTTCCCCCCGGTTGCCCGAACACCTGAAATGAAAATTGGGGGAGGTATGTGTGCACGTGCAAATGCATGTGTTCAATACAAGATGTGTTGTGTACTGTTGTATGTATTCAATACAACATGTGTTTTACTGTTATTGGGTTGGGTGTGTTTGTTTTGGGTATAATTTTGTTGATTGGAACGCAAGTTGGGTGTGGTTTGTTGTTTGGGATGTTTTTAGTTTCTAGTGTTTTGGAAGCACGACGAAAAATGTGACCTTGCCCCCGTTGCCACCATGTGTATGGCCCGAGGTGCTGGCCCCCTCTGTATTGTCATGATTGACTCTGTCCCCTGTTTTGGACATGTAGTCTTCACGCTGTAAGGTGTAATGGCTGACTCTGTTGGACATGTCGTCTAATGCTGTAAGGTACCTACCCCTAACCCTATGTTTTCTGGCATGCAGTTCGATTTGGTAAAAAAACCTGCGGCTGTGATTTGTCCTCCATCCAGCACTCGACCCGATACATAAACCGGCGCCGCAACGATGACGATACTGACCCTTGTCCCCTGTTCCCCGTTGTATCCCTTCGTCCTTAACCTGCTACAGCTACGCGAACGGTCTCAAGATCTCCTTCGCCAACTGCATCTACGGCCTCGCACACGAGCTCGACCCCTCGATCGACGCCCAAAAGGTTCTCTACCTGGTGTCCTCCACGGCGGAGTGCTTCCTCAGCCGCAAGTACGGCCTCCGCGTGGGCGCCCCGTACGGCGGCGTGTGCCTGCCCAAGGACGTGCCGGAGCTCACCAGCCTCGCGCCAGAGGGCTCTGTGTTCAGGGAGTTCCTGTCGGGCACCGGCAAGATCAACGAGTGGATCTCGAGCCCTGAGGCCAAGAACATGCGGGTGGAGCTCGACGAGAGCCCCAACTGGGTGTCCCCTGACGCCCTCATGACCTCCTAAGAAGAAGTCACATCAGCATGATCATGGTTGTTTGAACATGTTGACTTTTCCTTCTGGGAAAGCATGATTGATTAAACACAGACGTTTCCATTTGGGAAAGCAAAGACGTTGTTGAGACATGTTATTTGCTTGATGAAAGATATTACCTCGGCTCTCGTTTGCTTCTGTAGCAAGCATGAGTGTGGGAGAGCACGGGCGAAAATGTGTTGGCACTGCTGTACTTTTAGTGCTGCAAGAAGGACCTTCCGAGAGCGATCGATTTTGAACCTTTGATGACGAATGCTCATTTGTGGGCGGTCCATGTGATGTCCTACATGTGTCTTATTTTTTGTTTTATTTGTTGGAGGTGTGATCATTTTTATGTTGTACCATATACTACAATGAGGTTGGCTCTCTATGCAAGGAGGGCATGGCTTTCTGATTTCTTGTGAGTTTCTCTGCCTTGGCAGACAACTGTGGTGAAGGGGCGGGCTGTCTTCTTGAAGCGTGCTTGTAATTTAGAACACTTACGATGAGCGCGTTATGTCGGGCAATACTATTGTGCGCATGTTGCGTATGGATGGCTGTAGCGTAGGCTGTCCTTAATTGTGTTGCGAGGGACAAGCCTACTGGTCACATTGGATCATGGTAGATGATTTGTGTCCGCATTTATTTGGTGACTTTTGTGATCTACGGGAGAATCAACGACCTAGACGTCCCTCTCGGATGTCCTGCTTCATCTCGTTTTAAGCGAGAAAAGATGGGGACACATCAAGTCATGCGAGACTGCGTATTGACACAGCTGTATATCTTGTCTTCGATGAGGATGAGCTCTTCGACGCTATCTCGGTCAATCAGAGAAACGCCCGGCGGCGTTCGAACACAAGTCGGTGATTTCAGCATTCTCCGCCATCTCCCCAAGACAAAGAGTACCGGAGTATTGCACTCAATAGCCCCGTTCTGTTTGAGGTGACAGCGGCGGCGGCAGTGCAAGACGAATGGCGGACCGTCAAGCTGATCCACGGCAGGCAAAGACCGTGGACAGCTTGTTTGGAATCATTCCTCGTGTACTGTGTCCTCTCGTTGGAGACGCCTGGAAGCGGCCTCGACATAGCGTCTGCCGACATGCTCCAAATAGAGTCGTCCCGTTACGCACATCCATCAATGTTCACACTACTAGCTGTTTGCCGTCATTGCCGACGGGAAAATGGCAGAAGACACGATGCTACCAAATTGCCTTGTTGAGCCTGTTACCCTCAGGGGAGATATGTTGTATGCTGTTTGGGAAACCGTAGACATAAAGGTAGCCCTACGCTCAAGTTATGGATTCGTTGCTAATCATTCCAATAGATTTGTTGTGCGATTTTGAGAAAATAAAAAACTATAAGACCGTACCTTGGTCCCAAGACAACAAAAATTAAGGCAAGATGCTTTCGCCGAGACATAAGAATGTCGTACCCGCACACAGTTGTCGACCAACCTATATTCAAGTTTCAGCCTTCTTGTTTGCATGCCCACAGTTCAGTAAACCGATAGAAACGTGGTGCGATTAGGTAAGATTTGCAGCAAGTTCGGCCAGATGAAAACCGGAGTAAATTTTGAGACGCAGACGGCCCATTGTCCGAAGGCGCATTTCCTCGTGCTCGTCCGCCCGCCAGAAAAAGTGTAGGATCTGGGGGTCGGAAACTGGAGTAACACATCACACACCATATGCGCTTCCGGTGCTTCCAAGACTGCAACGAAGGCACTCAGCAGGTCCCAACTGTTGTTCCGTGTGTACCGTGGTGCCGCACCGCATTCCACACGACGGTCATTTGAGCGAGAATATTCTGATCCTTCGCCGGGTGATTGGCACAATCACGCCAGCCACCTTGTACCAAGTATGGTACATCTGGGTGGTATATGACGTGCAATCATCAGTGTAATTTTTTTTCGTTTTTTTTTCTCCGGTCCACGCGCTGGTGGTTGTAAGCCTCCCTTCCCCCGCAAGGTCGTCGCAACAACAAGGGCGCCAAAAACCAACCGCCGCCGCCGCCGTTCCTTACCAACGCACTGACTTCCCATCAGCTAAAGAAAGAAAAGCAGAGGCTGAAAACGGCAAACGTATGCATCAACAATCGCTCCAAATACTGCACGCGATCGATCCTGAGGCCAGCAGCAGTGAATTTCCCGCCCGAAGCGGTGACGCCCCCCACTGTCCTGGAATACGGCCCACAGGTTGTTAGTAGAAGAAGCCGAGGATCTTGCCACCGGTGTGCTTGCGGCGCGCCTCCTCGTGGTCCATGATGCCGAACGTGGTCGTCAAGACGATGTGTCCGAACTGTTTTCGTTCGAAATGGCATGGACAAAAACGATCAACGAAGTCAAAACGGGGGAGGAATAATATAAAAAAATTGACTTGTATAGGCTGGCGTGACCCACGGGGAACATGACGTTTTCCCTGCTGATTGCACCAACACGACCAGAAAAAACATTATTACTGAAAACAAGGTGGGCGAGACGAAATGTCCGATCGGTTGGCGTGAGTTGCTGGCGCTTAATCCGACTTCACCGTAAAACATCCTTGACATCGTTGTACTACAGAAATGGTGTGACAAACATGTGCCTTTGATGTGGATATCAGTTTCATTATAGGGCTGCGTTCATGAGGTCATTTTGACCCTCAAACAAGAGGTGTCAGATCTCTATGGAACATCATCATTTATCCACGATACCGCAGCATCTCAACACACGCGTTTTATCACGGCAAAACATCAATACACCGGAGTTTCCGAGAATGAAGTCGGATTAAGCGTCAGCACTCACGCCGACCGATCGGACATTTCGTCTCGCCCACCTTGTTTCAGTAATAATGTTTTTTCGGATGAACAGGGAAGGTAATAAATATACACAAAAAAAACGAAGGAGGATGAGGTGTGACGCTGTCGGACGCTAGCTTCTCTGATAGGCGGAGCATCTCAACCCTTCGAGCAAACATGGTGAAAAAAAACTCCGATAGAACAAACCGGTGACGCTTTCGCAGGAGCACACAACTTTACATTCATCACTTTACAGGAACAACATTGTACGCAGCTTGCGTGCAAGCGAATGTCTTTCAGAACTATGCTGGTTGCATGGCTGCGCCATACATTGCCGCCAGCACAAAGTGAGGTTCCGGACCTACCATGCGTACTTCAAAGAACAAGAACAAACTGTTGTGGATATCAGTTTCATTGTGGGGCTGCGTTCACGAGGTCGTTTTGACCCTCAAACAAGAGGTGTCAGATCTCTATGGAGCATCATCAGTTATCCACAACTCGACATGAGCTTTTCTCAGGCACACATCACGCCAGATTCAGGACAATCGTGTCTTTAGTCAGTATTAAAGTAACACAACGGCGTACCCTAAAAGACTTGATCAAAACAATTGAGCAATAGCAACAAAAAAAAAAAGAGGGCCAACAGCAAAAGTTAAGAAAAAAAGAGAGCTTGCGGTCCTATCTCGGATATCAGTTTCATGGTAAGGCTGCGTTCATGAGGTCGTTTTGACCCTCAAACAAGAGGTGTCAGATCTCTATGGAGCATCATCAGTTATCCACAACTCGACATGAGCTTTTCTCAGGCACACATCACGCCAGATTCAGGACAATCGTGTCTTTAGTCAGTATTAAAGTAACACAACGGCGTACCCTAGAAGACTTGATCAAAGCAATTGAGCAATAGCAACAAAAAAAAAAAGAGGGCCAACAGCAAAAGTTAAGAAAAAAAGAGAGCTTGCGGTCCTATCTCGGATATCAGTTTCATGGTAAGGCTGCGGTCATGAGGTCGTTTTGATCCTCAAACAAGAGGTGTCAGATCTCTATGGAGCATCATCAGTTATCCAGAACTCGACATGAGCTTTTCTCAGGCACACATCACGCCAAATTCAGAACATTTGTGTCTTTCGCCAGTATAATAGTCACACAAAGGCGTACTCTAGAACACTTGATCAAAGCAGTTGAACAATAACAAAAAAAAAGAGGGCCAACAACAAAAGTCAAGAAAAAAAGAGAGCTTGCGGTCCTATCTCGGATATCAGTTTCATGGTAAGGCTGCGTTCATGAGGTCGTTTTGACCCTCAAACAAGAGGTGTCAGATCTCTATGGAGCATCATCAATTATCCGACATTGGGACCATTAGCCATAGGCGAGGACAACTGACAACCACGCCGGTCCAAGATGTGACATCACATTGGCCCAAGCCCACACTACTTGTCTTCCGCCCCAAAACCCAGCTGTTGTTCATTGATAAATGGGTTTCAAACAGAACTAACTGGTTTCGCCTAACATCGCAACGCTAATGTATGCGCCCGAACAACGCAAGACATGATTCTTAACTCAGATTTCGGCCTACGTGGGAAGCCGATCTATCTGTACATGGCCTCTGGAATGGCTGGAGTTGACCGCATACTGCAAGGGAGAAACTTGGACACAAGACTTTCCTCGACCGGGGGAATTTGCAGCGCGCCGCAAAGATCATGAGCGAAACAAGCCTCGCTCGATCTGGTGCATTTTTTTAGGCCGGTCAATTCCTGCCAGCGTCTGATTCTCCCAGGACACATCCACAAAAAGAATTGTAACCACCTACGTGATACGGTTCTGGGAAGAAAAATACCAACGAAGGTTCCAAACGCAAACTGCGATATGAGAGTCACACGTTACACCTACAAATTGCAGGGTATACTCCCTCAGGAGGGTGAAAGTATATGGACGAATCGACTTGGCTGCGTGTCAAAGGGATATCAGTTTCATTGTAGGGCTGCGTTCACGAGGTCGTTTTGACCCTCAAACAAGAGGTGTCAGATCTCTATGGAGCATCATCAATTATCCCTTCTCTGCATGAAGCGGAACCGATCCTACGACAGGCGGCGCCACTGCCTCAAATCCAGGAGTGCGTTACTCTATTCATGCGGCTACGAAAAACCGAAAATTGACCCTCGTCCTCTCGCTCTCACTCACCCCACGTGCGGGAAGCAGATTGTTTACCCACTTCTCGACATCTTGGAGAGGCATGTCGAACCGGGGGGAGATGACGCCGCACTTATTGATACGGCCGGTCAGCTGACACCACAAAGTGGGACAAATAAACGTTACAGAAACAAACGCCCGACAACAATAACACGAGATACCGTCAAAGATCACGCGCGATCAGCCCATGAGAATTCGTCAGAGTTATTCGCCGCGAAAACACGGAAGGACATGGCATCTATCGCGGCACGTCTGGTCAGCAAGGAAAACACAATACCTACGGCGCAATGGATAATTGGATAACTGATAAGTGATGGGCACAGCACAACGGCCCAACAACACGTGCGACCCGATGGGGCAAAGCACAAAACACCGCAGGCAGATCAACAAAAGATTATAATTTCAGAGACCACAAGCCGGTAAACAGGGAGCATGCGAGCTTGGAAGTGAGGTCGACCTCCAGGGTCCTCGATTCACGAGCGGCAAAACTAACAGTCCCGGCGCGGGTCGGAACCACTTTCTGCCGTAACAGCAGCAACAGCTCCAACGAAAGGCAAGCGTACCATCTTCAGGTTGGGGCTGAAAAAAATACTGGTATGGTATATAGCTTCTCACCTCTACAACGATCTTCCCCGCGCGGTGGTCGTCCACGATCTCGAACTCCCCAATGTAGCCTGGCAAGACAAAAGAGACGAATAAAAAAAAAGGGAGAAGTTCAGCAAACCATTTGATTGGATGCGGTAGCAGCATCCAGTGTCCAGTCCCCAACGATGTTGAGTCTAAGAGGCAAGGTTTACGATTCTTCGACATTTCAAGGCAAGTACAACGCAAGCAATGCGTCACATACAACCGATGCCACAAAATATACCGTCATACACTACTGTGAGCAAGGCGTTAAGGGGTGCAGTCATGGAGGAAGTTGGTCTTTATCCACGACACATCATATGATAAGATGAGGGATATGGGTTCGCTCCATACCCTTCGTGATTTAGATGTCCTGTTCAATTTGGACCCTTGGTCCACATCAGCTTGCATATGCCTTGATGTCTGCATCTCCTGAAGAGAACGACGGAATTGCGAATATATAAAATGTCTGCTGTGTCTGCTGGGCCAGAAATCAACACTACGTCCGCGGACACGGCCCCAACTCATCCATCATCAGTTCAATGCCCAGCGCGTCGAAAGGGCCCACAGAACCGCTTGTGTGTCTTTCTCGACGAATAATATTGATGAATGCAAGCGACTACGGGCACATAAACTCATAGCGACGACGGCCAAACGCCCAGCACAGCAGCCCGGTGTATGCATGCACGTACCGTATATGACACAAGATAACACACACCCTTGACCGATTTTCGAAGCTCGATTTCTCAACTGCCGGAACAGTCACAGCGCCGAAAACGGCGGCGTTGAAACCGTCTCGTGGAGAGCTTTTCGAATATGTATCGTTTCGTTTATGCATCATCTTTGTCGTGGAGTAATCGAGCTTTGAAAATCGGTCCAGGGGGTGTGTTATCTTGTGTCATATACGGTATGTAAGCCGCAGAATAGATGGCGTGTTAGCGCCCTTAGGACTGGGACCCACGCAGGCACGCAGGCAGCAGCTGTGACTTGGGTTCAGCGGTCCACCAACGCGGAGAAATTTCCTCGTAAAACAAATGCCTGCCGGTCCCTCAAGGAGACAGACATCCCGTGGACATGAGATAAGGAATCACGGCTGCTCTGCGTCTTCAAATTTACGATTGTGTGTAGTGCATGGTGAACAGGGCTCGCCACTGCTAACCTCTGCCACAGACGGGCGGGAGGAACGAAGCACGGGCACAGAGCTTGCGTCAACACCGGTAGCTTGCAACAGCTACAGGGTGGGGATCTGAGGATATATTGCCGGCATCACGCCGTACTTGATGCTGTGCCCATCGCGTGTCCACAATGGCGATCAAACCCTATTTGACGCTTTACCAGAAAAGTGTGGGCGAACCGACGGGTGTGCGACTTCAGACACTCCATTGCTCCAACCCACAGGTTGCTAAAGCCGAAAAGGGTGGTTTTGGGCACGTCTGGTCGAGAGCTAGCTTTCCTTGAACGTATCACCCTCTTGTTGCTTGGTTATGGAGCAATCGACCCTCAAAATTCGATCGCACACTTGTGCGTTTGCTCGCGCTTGTATCCATCGATTGAAACTAGACAGATTCAGTACTCGAGTACTCAAAGGTTGGGTTTTGTCCGTGTCGTTCAGTACACTCGCGTGTTGGCGCCGTATTTTCGCCTACATTTTAGAATGGCGAACGATTGGTGCGTCTTTGGACAAAATGGCTGCCGTGGTCGGATGGCGCATGAACGTTTTTGCAGCTGAATGCAACGGGAGAGGAAGACAAGGCCAGGCGTCCGCGACCGGCCGTTCTCCTGCATAACGAGGTATGCGAACCCACAAAAAATCTCCGTGCACAAACGCCAGACCTTTGGTCATCACCAACAACTATCCATTGGTTTGTCGCTGTCTTCCCGTGGAACAAGGCAAGAGAGAGGGGACATTTTCCGCAACAAGGGGGGTCTCGGTATGTCTCCGCGTTGTTTGTGGTGTTTGATATTGCACTATTGCGTTGACAAGAGAACGAGAACACGTTTTTGCGACGAAAGCGTCTTCCGCGATTCGCATCTCCGCGCGGTGTGTGTTGGTGTTCTTGCTGCAACGCTGTTTTGATACGCGAACGAGTGCACCCATTGTCGGCGATGAAAGGGCGTTTCGCGAACTCTCTGCGCTGTCGGTTTGTTGCAACTGCCGTGCTGTTTTGATGAGCGAAAAACAACAAATATTCTTGGCATGAACGAGCCTTCTGCGATACACCTCTCTGCGTTCAGTTGGTACTGGCTTGTTGGGCCGGTTGTTGTGTCTTACCGTTCTTCTGCATAACCTGCAGGAACTTGACCACAACCTTGGAGCATGGCCGGATCAGCACCTGCCTCTTCCCGCGCTTCTCCGCGTTGGAGATGGTCTTCAGAGTGTCGGCGAGCACTCCCATTTTCACCATCTGCATTGTTAAGTTGTTCGGGTACAAAGAAAACGGACAGGAAGCCGAAAGTTGAAAATGAATATCGACAGGCATGCACGCAATAAGAAAGGGGCAGAGACGATAGCATCTACCCCCGCCGTTCGTCAAACCGGCTCTCGCTTGAGACAAACCTTTGCCGTATGAAAGATGGGCTACTTTTCGGCGTGTCGCGCAACAGTGCCGTCGTCTTTGGACACCGTTCTTCATGTTTCCGTAGGTCGCAAGGGTGCCGCTGCAAGTGTTTCGGACTGTACTGCTGTCCCAGCATCGAGGTACTGCTGCTGAGAGCCCGGACAAGGTTCTCCATGTGCTGTTCCAATATCGCCCTTGGGGTTATCAGCTGGCGAATCATCGCATTGTCGACATCACGTATGTCACCAACACATCCCAACGATGGTCGGGTGCATCATACCAGAACTCATCTGGGTGCGAAACCCACCCCCGGTTGTGCGGGAAGCGCACGGGTCTGCCTAAAGGAACATCATTTAGGGATGGTAGAAAAATGCAGAGGAGAGCAAGAGCCCGCAAATATATACTCCAGTATATCGGGGTCTACCTTCTCTAAGCATGCACGAGACACCACACCCCTGGACCAACTTCTAGAGCTCGATTGTTCTGCAGCAATATAGCTATGAGGGTGCCGAAAACAGTGGCGCTGGAACCGCCTCATCGAGGCTTTTCCCAATAACGCATGCCTTGATCTTCGCTTGACCCTCGTCGTGGGGTAACATTGCTTTTGAAAACGGTCCGGGGGAGGCAAGGGTCTCACGCAACCCTCCGGTATCGCAGAGAAAAAAGTGTTCACCAGGCAAATTCGTCTGCTGCAGCAGTACTTGCTGTACATGAAGAGAAGCGAGCAAAGGTCGACCAAAAACATAGTACAGCGGCCTCTACGGATAATGGATGCGAGGACACCCAACCAACTGCACTGCGGGAGGTCTGGCAAAGGTGGACACGACCAACACGAGCTCTGCGTGCGACGACCTCTACATTGCCATGCAGTGTGAACTCTCAGCCAAACCCTTCACTCGAGTTTACCAGTAGTACACACGTAGTGTTGCTCAGGTTTTTCTTAGCACAAAGGTGACCAACGATACAGCGTGCCGACACAGAGGGTATGCCCCCATGCTGATGGCAAGGACAAGATAGTGCCTGTCGTACATTGGGGAATATCAGCTAACTGCTGGCTATGTTGACACCAGGCCATATGAACACTCGGAAGAGTCGTTGCAATCGTAGGGGATGCTGTGTGCTTGTCATTGGTCAACACCAACCACGAGAGGCAAGCGAGGCCTACACAACTTCCCATCTGTCTTCAGTTTCTGGGTCGATCACCAAAACATTGCCAGCCTCTCATGGACCCTCTCAGCACAAGCTCTTCCCGCAGCAAGCCTCAGCATCCACCCAGCCCACAGGCAAGGTTTCCCGCGAACCAATGGCACACACCTCTCTCGAGACTTCAAGAATGGAATCACGCAGCCACGCTGCCAACCACGGCAGGACACCACAAAAGTAGCAGCAGAGATCTGGCTTACCTTGAAGGAGGCTTCTGCGTGACGCGCAGCTAAAGGTCCCACCACCGGAGAGAGGAGGATGTGAGCCGCAAACCGTGGGCAGGGGGGACCCGCAGCTGAAGGTCAATGACGCGGGATAATGCCTCTGCAGGAAATAAGTCGAACTCCCTGAAGTATAAACATTCGCGGGGCCTCTGGGGTCAGTGCTGACGCTGAGTCCACACTAGACATTACTGCTGTTAAGCAAAGAGCCTGCGACGTGGAGGAGACGCTTTGCTCTTGAATCATGCCTCCCACGTTAACCTGCACGGCGTGCGCAGTTACGTTCTCGACGTCGGATGCGCACAAGACCCACTACAAGCTCGACTGGCACAGGTACAACCTGCGGCGAAAAGTCGCCGGGCTTGCACCGGTGGATCAGGGCGACTTCGACCGACGCCTCGCGGCTGCCCTTGGGTCGGACGCCCCTAAGGCGGACTTCCAAGCGAGATGTTTGCAATGCCGCAAGAGCTTCAGGAGTGAAGGCCTGTGAGTACATGTCAGCAAGCCTTCCTTGCTATATGGTTTGGCTGGGGCCCTCTTGGAGCTACTTTTTGCTTGAAGCACGTTGCCAGTGGTGTGTGAAGAGGGGAAGAGAGCCGCATGTGGTGGCCGTGGGCCGTGTGACGGTGTCGTGGAGCCAGACCTGGCCATGTATATTGCGCACACCATCGTTTAGTTGCTTTTTGGTTCTCACACGATGTAAGTTATTTTGACCTCTCTGTCTACGAATCGTAACCCTGATTCCGTCATGTCAGCAGGCGGTGTTCTAGACCCTCGCCTGCGCGGGCGGTGCGAGTGTTGCAGAAGGAAGAGAGAGCATTCCGTTAGTCCCAAGTGGGCCTTCGCCGCTCGTCAGCATCGAAATGTTGGATCTGCCCCCCCCAGTGCTGTCCTACTTGCGAGGCCATGAAAGTATTCTCGTCCCCGGGGTTCTCGAAGCGAACGATTAGTAAGGCTTTGCGCTGCTTTTGGCCGTCCGCCGCCCAACTTTAAGGTAGCAGCTACATACAATGTAAGCCTCTCCTGCGCTATCCTCCCGCCCACGCTTACATATGATAACCCTATAGGTACAAGCAGCACCTCCAGTCCAAGAAGCACAAGGAAGCAGCAAAGCGCGCAGCAGCGGTAGCGAAACCGGCAGCGACGGCAGCATCGCCAACCGATGATGCGGGTGGGGGCGCTGCCGCTTCCTCTGAACCGGCAGGCGCTGGTAACGATGACGACGATGATGCTATCCTTGAAGAAAGCGGCAATGGCACTCGCAGTGCCGGTGCTTCGTCTGCGGTTGCGGCTGCTGCTTTGCCGTCGGAGAGCGGGTGTTGTGGCAGTGGTAGTCCCGAAAAGGGTGCGATGTCAGAGGAGGAGGAGAAGGAGGAAGAGCTGGCGCCAGCCCCAATGGGTCCCTGCGTGTGCATCTTCTGCGACTTGGTGTCGCCGAGCTTCGAAGAGAACTGTGCCCACATGCTTCGGCAGCACGGGTAAGTCGGGACGAGGAGATATTTTGACTTTTGTGCAAAGGGGATGCAAGGTGGCTATGTAAGGCTGGCGCCAATGTTCAATGTTGTGTGCGTCGGTGAAGTCGCGACGCCATCGTACCCTGTACCGTCTTCCTCCGGAACCCCGATGGCAAATATGATGGCGTAGTTGAAGACCCGGCATGGAATTCATTCGTAAGGAGGCCGGTGGGCGGTCTCACGACACTCTCGAGCACCAGCAGTATTTTCGTTCATCGTGTATTTTTCCTCCAATGGGTGTTTCGAACCCAAGTCGGACGAAGACATGTCAGTGGTCGCGTGCATGATACTGTTCGAAAGCCCGTGGTTGCCCGGTATCAGCGAGACGCTTGTGTACTGTACCGGCGGATGATATCTCGTCCGGTCTGGCTTGTCGATTTGAAACAGGACTTGACCTGAGGTGCCTCGGCTCTGGTGAGCCACCGTTATTTAAAGTATCAAAGGTGACTCCCAAAGCCGTGGCGCTGCAAATCAGATCCCGTTGCCAGTCGACAAGCCAGAAGCTACCATCAGCCGGTACACAACCGCTTCGCTGAGTATCGGCGTTCTTGCGACAAGAGGAAAGCTTTTGGAGGAGTGCCGAAATGCATGTTTATGTTTCGCTTGATGTAGAAGCCTTGCGGGGGGGGGGGGGGGGGGGGGGG